CTAATGTAATTCCCACAAAGGGGACAATAACACTCGTCTTCATTGTCATGATAGTTAAAGATGCCCGAGTTTTTGAAGGGATAGAATGGGTCCGTTAGTGTTGCTTGAGGGAAAGGTTACAGCTGCTAAGTACATAGAGATGCTAGAGCAATATCTCCTGCTTTTACGAATGCTCAGACAGAGTATATTTTCCAAGATGATAATACGCCAGCTCATACGGCAAGAGTGACTAAGGCATGGAAGGAGGATAATTTAAATGAAACGCTTCCTTGGCCCGCTCAGAGCCTCAACCCAATTGAGAATCTGTGGGATGACTTATAACTCGTTTCGGCTGGCAAAAGTGTAAGCGATTGAGTAATGCGATTAACATTCTACCAGAACTTGGTAGTCCATAAATTTCAGCATAGTTTTCGAGAAAATTTCTCACGGCGGTAACAACAGTTATATCAATGGTTATTTTGGTTTTCCAGCATGGCATTTTTTTTACATTACCATAACGCGTAGTATTATATCATTTGTCACTAGGTGATTTCTGACATTTCCGAAGTGCATGCGACCAATTCCTAACATATTAATATACGTTTTCTGACAGAGCGTGTATTGCGATCTCAATAATAAAATGTTCTCTTATTAGCATGCATTTTCTTTTTCAAACGTCAGCTAGCAGTTATTCTCCATCATTCATTGCTTTAAGTTGGGCCATTAAAAATATGTCTTGCTCTGATTGTAAAAAAGCTTGAAACACCTCATGTAATTCAGCAAATTTCTCTCGGAATCATTTCCAAACAACCATAGTTGCAACCTACCGTATCCTCTCGTGAATAAGCACCTATCGTGAATAAGCACTCCCTGATTACCACATAACCCTCCCCCCATAAACAGTTTATTACATAATAACACGTGATAATAAAATTTTTATTAAAAGTCTTCGTTCTGCGATTACTGTTAGACAACCCCCTAAAGTTTATTATTTACGTGATAGTTGCCGATCATTTTCATATGATCGAAAGGGGGGTGCTTATTCACGAGAGGATACGGTATCCCCAAAAAGCATATCACCTTGTCATATTCAGTGGAACAATTATAATCAGTATTTTTCATATACAGGTAATCCTATATATAATTTTATTACATTGCAAAATTTTTATTCAAATACTTAGCAACAAATTATCACTAAACTATGAACATGTTCAAATGCTACTTAAGCACTTTCTCACAATTTTTTGTTTTTTTCTGTAATTTCATTTCTTAATACTACAAATTGAATAATATCTTAGAAGCTGTGCTAATCTTTCTCGTCCGTTCTATGCTTTTTATGTTTGAAAAGTCTCTCAATTCTAGCATTTCTCTGCTCAGAATCATCTCCCAAACTATCTAGTTTCTCTTGCACAAGACCTTTAATTACAGCAAAAAGGTGTCGCAGTTGTTTTTTCAGAACGTCATCTTCATTGTTCATGTTCACAGACAAAGGTATTGACTCATATGTTGTGGCCAGTTCATTATTTGATGTCACAACAGTAAAATACCATGCATTGCCTGTAGACACGATCCCATATACATATTCAATAAAATCCATATCATTATGTTTGCACTTTTTATTGTGCTAAAATAAAAAATAATTTTTTACCTATCGAGAGTAAAAAGTATTTTTAATGCAAAGAAATTGATACGCTTTCAAGATGGTACATCATACGCTCCTACGATAGGAATCTGTTTATCTTGCAACAAATTAGTATACACCGGGAAAAAACTTTAAATTATTAAGAATCATTGGCAATCTGCATGCATTGGTAATAAAATATGGCGAACTTAAGTATGGAAATTTTTGAAATTAAACATAAGCCCGAATCTGATCGAACATTCGATGATATGCATGCCTTGCACTATTATGAGCTATGGATAACAAACGCAATCAAAAACCTTAAACGTGCGAGAAAAGCCGGCGCCGTACGGCAGAAAAAGGTGCGAGCATGCGTCCTTATCCAGCGTAAATGGATAAAATTCTCAATAGTTTAATTGTAAAGCAGCTGGCTGAGCATTACAAACTGTTATGGACTACTTGCGAAGAAACGCGATAAGCTAACAATGTATATTACCGATGTTTTCGGTTAGGATAACTCTCGTGTATACTTGCATTCCCGGCCGTACAGCAGCGGATGTCATAAAATTTATTATTATTATTATTTTTTACACAAAATTGTCACGTGATGGTATAAAATCGAAGAAAAAGGTTGCAATTACAAGGGGTAGAAAAAATCCCTTGCATATATGAGTAAGCGCTACTCATACAATTTAAAAGGTGTGTCCCATCCAAGCCTCACCGCGAGGGGGTCATCTATCGGTTTAGTAAAATCAAATACTATGAAACTCCGATCTCGCAAATGCTTATCAATAATTTTAGATGGATTATCCGTATATTGACGCACAATTCTGGCCACGACATCTCTGCTCCCGATCCTCAGAATAAAGCTAAATGTGAGACATTCTCGCAAATTATTTTAGGAGTTTGAGTGTATTTCTGGCTTACATATATGGGCGAAATATTTTGATGCCGGCCACTAATAAGTAAGGAATAATCCGATCCTGAATTTTCTTTGATTCAACACACAGATCCTCAAATACAACTATTGCACTCCGTTCTGGTGTGAATTTAGTTATATCCGGAATCTTGTCAGGTGCTGTTTTTTAGACGTAACGTTCTCTCGGTATGCTTTAGAGCTAGTTGCAAAAATCTGATAATTAGTCTGAACTAATTGCCATTTCGGCTCGAAATGCCTATTAATACAAGATCATTATTTTTAATACTGCACTATGTGATAGATATTCAATATTATTTGATAATTGATACGTAGTCTATTAGCAGGTTACTTATGAAATACAATCTGTTGTATTGTCTTTTTTAAATATAAGGCGTTTACTTACACGATAAATCTAATTAGCCGCGTATCCTTAAATTCACGTAATAGTTGAGCACATATTACTTTCATCATATAACATGTCTTCTGAACCGATTAATCAGAGCTCTTTGCGTTGACGGTGAGTATAGCGCAGCGGATATATTTATTTCTAGTTTCAAGTAACAAGACGCCTATAGCTTGATTATTATTATTCTTATTATGTATTCATTACTTCTTGACTCTCAACATTTTGGCGTCGGAAGGAAAGTTGTATATTCTAATACAACGATTATTCTCTCAATAAAAATCATCAGTCATCCGAAATAATTTTTATGACGTTTGGGGAAGATGGGAAAAACCCGATCAAGTCAAATGATTCAATGGCGGAGTTGGTGCGTCCCTTGAATGAACATGAAATAGACAAATCGATAGTGTGGAGATGGTCACACAACGATTCGAGTTCAGATCACTTGATTTGCATTGCTTTCCGCCATAATCCTTAAAAGGGCGGGGCTCAATGATGTAAAATGCGTAACAGTTGGCGTTTTCCTTTTACGATGCTGTTGTCATACATTTTTTACTTCTGAACCCTGACTATAGAGATCCAATTACATTCATTTTTTGGCGAATGACATTATTGGTCGCAACTCTGCAGATTATGAAATACTTTACTACCCAAAAGTTGTCGTACATAAAGAGATCTGTATGCTTGTGTTCAACAATAATTGAACCTAGTTGCTACCAAGAAATGCTTCGCATGCATTTATTTCAAATTTTTTAAAAATTCTCGTTAAACAACATTTGACACAAGGTTCTACATACAATTGATTCAACGCACATTGTCCTTGACAGACTGTTTGATATTGACAAGATTTACATGAAACCAATGCGGTGTGACGTCTCGTTTTCAAATAAACAAACTTAGGAACAGTAAAAACATGCCAACAATTTAATCACGTTGAACGCTATCGTTGTGGTTCTTCTTTGTTAAGCGGTTGGAGACCTGTCCTCGCATGTGTATTGACGATTGACCAATTTGCAAGAAGAGCGGGGTACCGCATAGTGAAGCATGGTATTAAATTAATAAGTATTTATTTATTGAGTTTATAAAAACATAGTTTGCAAATTGTTTCATGAGTGTATCTCAATCATAGTCTCACTTTGCTCATGCGTTTTAACTTGTCAATGTTATGCAATAAACAGTTTATTATTCTATGTACACATATGATGTAAATTGATTAGTCTTTTTGCTAAACCTCTAATACAATTGAATAATGCTTATTCGCCGAATGCAGAACCTGGCGGACACCAAACATTGTTTGCAGGATCACTATCCTCCTCATTTTTGACAACAACGCCTATGTATTCTTTTCCCTGTATCGGCACCCATTTGCCATCGTTTCTGTAGATTTGATTCTTTTCGAATTCTATATAATATATGCCCGGTTGATATTTCTCCGGATCTACATTCCAAAATGTAGTAACATTAAAAGCCCCATTAGGATTTGATCTATCCGCACTCGCTAATTTCTCAACCGTGTTGTTGTTTGACGAGAGAATATTTATTTTGAGGTTTTGTAAGATAGCCATGTCGGAAGAAACTACCTTTACGGTAATCGGATATGAATTTTTGATGATCGCTTGTGGGGATGTGGATGAGGGGCAAAGAACAACAATGTGGTCTATGACAGGTAAATGGGAGAGGAAAGGGGAAGATGGGAGTGGGAATAAGTGGTAAATGAGGTTAGCAAACTGAAACAGCTAATTAAACCTGCAAAACTTGTCGGATTGATCATGAAATCTTACCCGCATTTACGGATTTTATTTGTATCATACAAGCGATAATGATTGCTGCCATTAAAAGTGGCATGGGTTTACCGAGAGTCTTCAACATGGTTAGTAATGTTACTGTCGCTATAGATAGAGAACTAAGCGCTTTGCCGTTAAAGGATGTAGGGGGAGGGTCGTGTTAGTGGTGTTTATATACTGGATTTCAACACACCAATGCAATGCAATGCAACGGGACTGAATGCAAGTAGGCAAGGTGGGAAGATGTTGGATTTATATAACAAATAAATCGATTTCTAATTCAACAAAGCCACTTTATATTTTTTTCCCTGCAACTCGTACCAAAAATTCAATTAGTGATTGTTGAGTTCGGGGCTTATTACAAAATCGTTGTGTCTTACCCGATTTGTGGCGCATACATGTTTTTCCACCATTAGCGCCATTAGCACCCAAAATACAATATGCAAAGGGTCCTTGCGGCATAACCAAAAGAAGATGTAGCACTCGGGCATAAAGAACGAGCAGGACATTTGATGACTACGAGTTCCTTCGACACAGAAAACCAACTTGTCGATACCAACACAACAGTCTTTTACATTAGCAGACTTGACATGTAGAGACATTATATAATTATATACACAAAGATATCTCCTTAGTTTACACAAATATAGCGTAACAATAATAAAACTTTACGTTTCGGGATGTTTGATTTGTAAGTTGACTTTTATGGTTTGTTATCCAGAACATATATTCTTACAAATTCAACTGTAATTCGAGTTGGGGTAAGATGTTCTCTAAACGGAAACGAAAAAAGAGTGCCTGATATAACAAAGCAAGCGACCACAGCCTTGAGCTATGTAACTATATCGAGTCGTAAGAAACATGCAAGACGCTGTGTTTCATGAAGGATTCATTGCAAACGCTTTTTTTGGAGAATTCTCATTGAACCCGCTTCTCTCGGACTTGTCACAGTGAAACGCTATGTGGGAGGGGATTCCTATTGAGAGCGACGCTTCTCTTACCTAAATTGGCTTGTTTGTACTGCCTGCATGGATTAGCATTGTCTAACTGTTGGACCAGTTATTTTGCTTGACATTATGAAATCAGATAATAAGGACGAACGATATGCACTCCGCAAGTAAGTCGTATTGTTATCAGAAAAAGGGTCATCTAGTTGGTTGGTTATGTGTCACTGTAAGTAGAGAGTGCGGTGACTGCTAAAAATAAAATTGTCGAGCTTTTCCAAAAAAGTTATTTACGATTTCCGGTAAGCGCAAAATCCCTGATGATGTTCGTAGATCAAACCGTTTGCTTTATTTAACCCCTGTTAAACCACCTGGTATCGGGGAGGCGGGAAAGGTAAGAGAACAAGACAAGATGAAAGTAAGGGGGGCAAGTGTTTGCTTTTCATTTCGTATCGAATATATGCGGGAATGTTGAGAAACACAAAGCATCCACAACGATACAAAGAATGTTATTATCACAATAAACAATATAAACTTCTAAGTATTAGCGTTAGATGAACTGTGTTGAAAGTGGTAATAACATAAAGAGACAAAAATCGACTAGTCTTTCTTGGTTTGATGTTACACTTAATCGATCAGCTCAATCAAGATCTCCTGTTTATGATAGAAATAGGGCAACTGTGTTCAAAAAGAAAAGTCAGATGACATTCGGCTTCAAACTAGGCAAGTTGGCATAAAAACCCGGCACATATTGATGGTTTAACGTTCCACCATACTAGACAATTAACAATGCCTGAAATGATCTCTTTTTGCGAGTCTCTTAAATATAAAACATGTGATAATTCAGATAATCGAAATCAGCATCTGCAAACAAAAAGACAGATTAGGTCATGTTCAAACAATGCATAATAGGGCAAAGTCTAAATGAGCTCCTGTCTCTGACGAGAATCGCATTTCTTTGATGGTTAGATAAAACTAAATTATGGAATTCTAGAAACGAGCTTCATTGTGGGTGGTAAATTTGGAAGTGATCATCACTCTTTATTAATATCGAGTATCGATATTAATATGTGAGAAACCAACGAAGGATATACGAAAAAGATCCTGCAATAATATATGTAGCAAAAACAACACTGATTATAAGACATGTCAAACTGGCACTTTCTTATTCAAGTTTGAAATTCAAGAACGTAATATGTGTGTAAACTTGGTTGTTGTTATTATCGTTATCCCTAATACTAATGATTATAATTGTCAGTTTTAACAACAGTAATAGTAAAGGTTTTATTTGTATCTTGCAGTGTGTGTATCTAACTAAACTGTTTTCTCAAGCCGCTGTTTATGCTCTGGCTTTTAAGACTTTGGGGCTGGTCATCCCACGTTGAAATCATTATATCTTGAGCAAAGACTGCTAGCATACGATATTCATGGGAAAAATGTCGCTTAATTCTGATGGCATCAAAAAGAGTCTGTGTGAAATTATATGTTGTATTTATCTTAAAATATTTCTCAACTTTTACTTTTAAGGAATCAAAGCTACGCAGAGCCTATCCGCATCTCTTTCTATAATCGATAATAACTAGTCATCGGATAGCGCATAAGAGTAAAGTCGAAATCATTCCACGTCTCCTGTCGAAAAACTGCTAGCAAAATACGAAAAAGGTATAGTTTAGTAATTAATTAAATTGCACAAGTTATAATAATATTTACATGTCAAAGGGGCAAAGCCGTGACTGTCGCCTGGCACTGCTCTCGTAAGTACTGAGATACATTTCTCGCAAAAAATAGTAACGCGAAAGACGCATATTTATTTTTCTCTCTCACTCATTTGTTATAATGTTTTGAATTGTCTTTGGAAGGCAGACCGTATTGTGTGCGAATTCCTCGTTGATGTTACCAATATCTGGTTTAATGAGCATTTCCACTACGCAACATGAGTTATTCCCCAAGGTAGGATGTTACCCATACTTAATAGTAACGATGAAAGAATGAGATTACTTTATTAGTCAAGTGAATATTTACGTTCAAGTGACGAACAATTAATGACAATTTCCTCCAACTGTTATAATTATAGAGTTTAATGACTACCACTGCGACGTTGCAGATATGATTGTGACAATCATTTGATTACGTTCCTTATTGTTATATTCACCGTAAACATTATTTTACTGAAAAGCGTTGTTAACGCCGACAAAAATACTTATTTTTTTTATTGATGTGTATAGATAATATGACTGAAAATAGGATTTTCATAATAAAAAGTTGGGACGCAACTAATTGTGACTGCATATAGACTGAGATTAATTCTCGTTTTGTGGGCCAACAACAATTAGCGAGTGTCGTTATTATTCGAATATAATTTTTTAAATAATAAGATACACGCATCTTAATCTGTTGGTTTCAGCATTATCGTCTTCGATCCGAGATATTGAATAAATCGTCCAATTATTGTTGCAATTAGCTAGTATATGCTCGGCTATGTTAGGTATGGAACACGATTGAGCAGTTATTGAGGGCATGACAGTTTTATGGATACCGTGAAGCTTGCACCGTCACGCGTCAAGGTATCATGAAAAGAATGGTCGAGGAATGTGAGTAGATTAATGATGTAATAGACAACGTCAATATTGTAATTTGACTTCATTAATAACTAATTGTTGGCTTCATACCAGCGCTAAAGTCAAATTATAGTTATTGTTCGGTTTAATAAATTTCAGTAAGTAAGAGCCTACTAGAAGAATTACTCTCCTCTCGAGATGTGATAACGGTTACATCATTATGGTCATCATCAGTACTAAATTTATTTCACAAAGCTTAACAACTGTTGAATAACTCATTTATATTATACACAACTTTTCTAGTCTGGAAAGAATAATTTGTCCAAACCATTCCTTACTAATATGATGTGATAATTTTGATGCTAAAAAACTTAAGAACCGCCGGTTATCTAATATATAGTTACTATAATCATACATCATTCGAAAAAAAGAAACAATTCATACCATACTAAATTGTCAATTCTCAAAGTTTAAAATTTACACAATTTTCGAACTTAAATTATCAATGGATATGTTGTGGCTCATAATCCAATGAGCGACATTTAATCCATATTGTTTACGTAATAATAGCGAAATAAAAAACGCTTCAAACTGAATTTTGAATCCCGAACATATGCACCGTTAAAAAGCGTCAAAATTTTTTATCGCATTAATCTTACTGTAAAGTTGGCAACGATCGTACATGCCACTACTGCACTTTCAAGAACAAGCTTCGCAATAGAAAATGAACTGGCGTATCAACAATTCTCAGAATCAACATGAGATTGGGCCTACTGGATGCAAGTTTGCGCATGGTTATTAAATTCAAGAATACTGTTTGGCCTCACCGACGGCATATTTCTTCTACCGCTACTATCATCAAGAGTTAGACGAAAATAATTGCGTCGGTCGGCGATTTTCATAACCAATATTAAATATTGCCTTCACATCTTTAATTATCAAATCAAATTTCTTCTGTATCTCATCGTTACTTCAATAAAAACATATTTACAGAACATTTATATTTTTTCCCTGGTAATCGTACTGTAGAGCGATGATTTCTCTATTATGAATGATCGATCTTGTCCATCAATTTGCTCGAGTTCGGCACATACGATTGTTGTTAACTGCTAATCGCGTATAGAATACTCGCTTACACAAATCAAGTTATCGGTACGGAAATTGATAAATTCATCGTTAGTAAGATGACGCAATCTACGTGATGCCAACAGTATAACTGATTGCTAATTGTTAGAAGGCTGCGTAAGCGATATTGATCGATAGATAGCTCAATGATTGTGGGTTACTGTAACCAACGAAATCAACGTAACTGTGGCAGTAATCATGTCAAGCAAGAGAATTTTGCGGGCTGGACAGTTCACGTCACGAACACATGAGAGAGTAATGTACAACAGGTCACAATATTCGATGTGTAACACAATAAAGTGTTGAACTAGTCTTGATATTCTTGCACTTGAAAACTTTTTCAAACCATGTCATTGCCAGGAGTCAATAATAACCCAGCAATCGACAACTTGATTCAATCTCCCTTAAAATGGATTCCTTGCTCGGAGTTTACTAAGATAGAGTCAACTCAGACTGAT